AAGAGAGCACTATCAGAATGAATATTAAGTGCAATGGATTTAAGTACATCAACCACACAAAAATTCCTAAGCTTATGAATACTCCAAAAATAAAAACAATTGTACATCACTGAAGATTGCTAAAATAATAATACACTATTCTGGAAATATAAAAACACAAGGAAAGACTCATATCTAACTTACTTTTCCAGTATGAAATGCATTGCAGGATAACCAACTGGTGAAAACCAACAGTTCTTCACTAAAGGAGAATTTCATCTAAGACCAAAAGAATCTGAGAAAATGACATTTTGCAATTCCTCACGAAATAATGGACACTAAAGCTACTAGGTAAAAGATAACTTTCTAACAGAGGAAACCAGCTGCACACCACTGGAACTTAGTCTCTGCAGTACCACAAGTAGGACTACCAGATATTCTGTGCCTCCTAATGTGGTAGAAACAAAGTGCATAGGATCAGCTATGAAGTTTTGTGATCTAAGATCATAAAATTGAACATAATTATGTCTTTAGATTTAACTACTAATTCACAGGACAACACAATACATGAAGGAATAGGTAACCGGTGAATATTCCTAATCTAAAAACACAAAATGCTCCCACACTGAAAGTATCTTGAATACAGATATGACATTGCAAGTAGAAAATTCATTTCACACCCATAACTGTTTAAAATTACCTTCAAGCTGGGCACATATGAAGCATAAATGAATTTCATATTTAGACCTGGCTCTCATTCCCAAGATATTACATTACTCCGAACTTTGAAAAAAAACTCCACCTTCTGAAACACTTCTGGTCCCATGCACTTTAGATAAGAGATAGTCAACCATATGTTGATAACAGAGAAAAATGCCACACAAATCTAAAATGTGGACTATTTTACAGGAAATGACTGGGTTCTCTAACCAACTGAAGTCATTAAAGAGAAAAAAATCAGAGAAAATACATGCATATAACAAAATGCAATGCATGACACTATGAGATCCTGGTAAGAAAACCGAATTCGAAAGCAGGAACGGTAGCCCACGCCTGTAACCCAGCACTTAGGAGGCTGACACAGAAGGAAGATTGTTGAGTTTGGAGTCAGCCTGGGATACACAGTAAGCTCCAATACAGCCTACAATATATAGCAAAATACATACACACACACACACACACACACACACACACATATACTAGCAAGGCAGCATCTGGTAGACAGAGACCAGATGACTGATATTCAAGCCCAGCCTAGATAAACTAGCTATTTGGTAACAAATGCTATGGTAAGTAAATAATTTTTCAATGGCTGGGGATTTAGTGCAGTGAGAAGGTCCTAGGTTCAAATCTCAGTAGAGGAAAAATAAAAAACAAAAATAGGCCCCAAGGTGTTTTAAATAAGGAATATGAAGCTATAGTTCTTCCTAAAAAGAATAGTTTCAGGCAGTTCATTATCAACTGAAGGTTCAATCAACTGTTAATTGCAACTCATGGATTAACAATTATATCATCTAGTTTAACGATGATCTTTTTTAACCCAAGCAGCTCTGAAAATAAACAATTTGAATATAAATTTTGCTACATCATAAATGTTTATTATTGGTCACAAGTATACTTCTGCCAGAATATGTATAAAACTGATGAAAACTCCTCCTCTGAAACTAAAACAATTAAAATGTTAAAACAGGCCAGTATTTTTAGGCCTGCTGTATTCCTAGAGCTCTCTGGGAAGCTGAGGTTGGAAGTGCAGGCACAGAATTCTAGCAGCCTAGAAACTCATAGAAACTCTGTTTCAAAATTAAACCACTTGGGACATAGCTCCCTGCCAAGACCCTGGATTCAACTCCATGGGGCAAGGGGATCAGGTATGAGAAATATTGGCCAGCTGTTACTCCAGAGCAGCTATACCAATTAGCACTGTAACATAATCCATCCAGTCCTTGACAATGACGGAATTTTAAATTTTTTATGTCTTCACAAGTTTTATGAGGAGAAAGGATAAAAACATATATTTTTAACTACATCTCTCTTTTTTTCTTTTTTTTTTTTTTTTTTTTTGTCTTTTTGTTTTTTATCGGTATCAGGGATCAAACTCACGATCAAACTCACGACCACACACTTGCAAGGTGGGCGCTTATGCCACTAAGCTAAATCTCCAGTCCACTACATCTCTAGTTAACAACTAAGAGTCCAGTTTTTTCACGTCTCTTGGCTATTTGTATTTCTTCTGTAAACTGCTTTTTCACTGTGTTCCATCTTTTTTAATTAAGGCCTCTTTCACCTCTTAGTTTACATGTTTACACATAAGCACTGACTTTTTCTCTGTCATAGATGCCTCTAACATTTTTCCCAATTTGTCAAGTATCTTTTTGTCACATTTCTGTTTAAGAATATAAAAATTTGTTCATTAATAGTAGCTGTTACTCAGTCATTAACAGTCACATTTCAAGTTTTAACAGTAGTTCTCAAAATTAAGGGTACACAAAAATCCCCTAAGAACTTTATCTTAAAAATCTAGATTCCTGGGCTTCCTAACCATGAATTTTAATTATGTAGGTCCAGGATAAAGTCATAGAACACACATTACCAACAGGTATCCTCAGGAGATTCTGATTTAAGCAGTCCAGAAGGGCTCCTAAAAATGCTTGTTTATGGGTTCTACTTTCAGTGTTATTCATGGCATATTTTTCCTTACTCTAAAATTTAAAAAACAAATACCTGGGAATGGTGGAACACATTTGATTCTGGGAGACTGAGGCAGGAGGATCACAAGTTCAAACTCTGCCTAGGCAAGCTAGCAATTCAGTGAGACTATCTCAAAAACTTTTTAAAGGAGATGAGGGAAGGTAGCTCAGTGTGAAGGCCCCAGGTTCATTCTCTATTTTCAAAATATTTAATCCATCCAAAAGTATTTATTAAATGACTGGTCAAATGCCTGAACATTATTTGCTGAATAATCATACCTTTCCCTTCTGATTTGAAAAACAATTCCCTTATCATCAAGAAAATACTATTTTGGCCTTCCTACCTATATGCTTTCATAACTTATAAGAAAAATCCCCTCATTGTTTTTGTTATTCAAATTTTTCTTACCCATAATCTTGTTTGTTTTATTTGCCAATTCTTTTCCGTGTTTAACTAATATTTACTGGCAAGGCAGGCAATCAATTTTACAAATATAAATTAACTCACAGTCATTCTGCCACAATCTTATCAAGGTTGTTCTAGGAATAACATTAAAAATTTGAAATTGACATGGAAACAAGTAATGTCTTCCATTTTTTAAGTCTTCAACATTACGTATGTTCAATTCATAAAGACCACCGACATTTTTTTATTAACTTTATTCCTTGGTGTTCTGTATTTCTGTTATAGCTTAAAAAATGATTTCTCAACTGAGATATCATGGGACCCAATCTAAACTCTAATCCTTACTGCTGTGTAACACTGAGCAAGTCACTTAACCTTGCCATGCCTCAATTTATTATAAAATGGGTTGACAATAATACGTACTTAACAGGGTTGCTATGAGAACAAAATGAGATAAGTGCATGAAATCGCCTATACAGAGCTTAGCAGAGAAGTAATGGTCAGCACGTTAGCAAATATTAAGGTTAGTGAGACTGTTCTCCAAACACAGTTTCTAAGTAGTTACTCTTTATTTGTAGGAAAGTTGTTGTTTTCATATTCATCTTGTGTAATGTATGTTCCCTGAACTTTACTAACAGTTTTTCAGTGACTCTCTGAATGAAGAAAAACTTAAAAATTAAAAGACAAACGAACTGGGGGATTTTTCAGACAAAGTTAATTAACCTCATTTAGCTATCAGAAGAGAATGATTCAAAAATGCTAAAACAAGTGACTGGTTATATAGAAAATATTTAAACTACAGCCTCAATTTAAACCATATGCCTTCAAGGCCAGAGATTTGCCTGCCTGGCAAGCACAAGTTCCTGAGTTTGATTCCCAGTACCAAAAAATAAATACATAAACCACATGCCAACATAAATACTAGAAACACCAAAAAAATAAATACCAAACCTTGAAAATTCTAGACCACTCCTAATAGAATTTTTATGATGACAAAAAAAAAAAAAAAAAAAAAAACAGAAAATAACTCAACTGTCAAATTGCCATTTTAGGAAAGTTATCTATTATTAGCTGACTCCCCCAACCCCAGTCCACATTAGAATTCAAGCTGCATGAAAACTAGAACTCTATTTGGCCAGTTCTGAAATAAAATTATGGTCTCACTCTGTGGTTCAGGCTGGTCCTACACTCCTTATGTGTGTCAGCCCAGCCTTGAATGTGATCTTCCCACCTCACCCTCCTAAATTACGGGATTATAGGCATGACCACATCTGGCAGCCGGGACATGTTTTATGTTTTCTTCCCTGATATGTTTCAAGAGTCCCTGTCCTGACACAGGACAGCAATCAATAAATATTTGCTTAAGGAACTCTCTATCCACTGGAGATTAGACAAAATATAGTATATCCATAAATCAGAATGCTAATACAGCAACAAAATGAACTATAGGTACACACATCAACATGGATCACTCTCAGAAACCTATGGAAACAAATGACAAAGTTTCAGGGGAATATGTATAAATGTATAAAACATAAAACTATTACCAAAAAACTTAGTAGTTAAGATTGAAGCTAAACACTGTGGCATACTCCTATAATCCTAGTACTCCAATGGCCTGACGTAGGAAGATCTCCAGTTCAAAGTCAGCCAGGACTATTTAGTGAGACTCTGTTTCAGAAATAAATAAATAAATAAAAGAATTTGTAGAGGATAGTTTTCCTAACACTATACCTAAAGAGGAATGACTGGACTTTATCTGGAAAAACATACAAAATACAAAAGTAATCTACTATATAACTCACAAAACTCTTTACTTGGTGACTACTTAGAAGAGAGGTAAAACATTCCCCATGAGCCCACTTGCAAAAAAAAACAGAAATCCAAATGACAAACAAAGCATTCAACAGTGCCAAAACCAATCATACCTATAAGCTCAGGTGGGTTTCTTTCATTAAACCGCTCACAGAGACGAATGAATGTCTCAGTATTCTCAGTTGTAGGGCATTCACCATGTCTAGTAATATGGAAAAAATAATTTTTTAATAAAAAGATTACAAATTTCAATTAAAAGTTTCAATTAAAAGAGACAACATATAACTTACCCTTTACATTGAAGTTTTATGTATTTGATTCCTTCTTTTTCTATATCATGCCTGTCATAGAACCTTGAAGTATTTGTCAGATCTACCAACAAGCTCATTTTAACCTAAAAAAAAAAGAAAGAGAAAGCAAATTTACTAGTAACTAAATTTATTGCAAATCAAGTTAACTAAATGGCTATACTACAGTTTATTTATCCTCATGGAGAGAGGTATAGTGTTCCCTCTGCCAATGAACAACTGACAGTAGAAGTACTATTATTCAAGCTTTATTTGAGGTAACAACTCACCAGGTACTCAATAAAATAATGCCTACAAGGAAGAGAAAAATAAGGAAAACAGACTCTACTCTCAACATGAGTCTACTCGAAAATTAAAACACACCACACTTTTTCAGCATCTGTCTCTGCACCTATGATTTATCATAGAGTCAGGAGCAGACACAGCATCAGTATGAAATACACACAGTTCTAGGGCAGAAACATATCACCCAGCACCCAAAAAAGCCACCATCACTCTGTTCATATTTACTGACTACACCACATTGTATCACACACTATGAGACAAGTCACTTACACCACACAAATGGACATGAGTATGCTCCCCTTTCTTTCTGTTGACTAAGAGTCCTATCTATTATCTGAAAATGCACTGAAGTCTAAAACTAATACACTTCTTAAAGAAGCAAGGTGAAAAATGAAGAGAGACTTGTAGGGTATATAAGAAAGCAATTTTTAAAAAAAGCAATTTCCAGGGCTGGTGATTTAGCTCAGCAGTGTTAAGCGCCTGCCTGGCAAGCAAGATGTCATGTGTTCAATCCCCAGTACCAAAAAAAAGCAATTTCTTTCTTCTCTTCCAGGAAATCATAGAACACACAGTAATCACTAAAAAGAAGAAGAAGAAGAAAAAAACAAAAAAAGAAAAAAACTCATCTTCATTTTCAGTGAAAATAAAGAACATACGAGATCAGTATGTGCAACAGAAGTATCAAAGTCTACCAATACCTAAGACCCTATCTCAAAATAAAAAATAAAAAAGGACTGAGGATATAGCTCAGTCCATACTAGAGTCAGCCGGCAATGCCACCAAAAAAAAAAAAAAGAGACATTCAGTCATACTTGTGTATCTCATTAGAGACTTAACTGCATCTCTCAATAAACTGATCACAGTCGTTTTTATAGTTTTTCTTCCTAGGTTGCAACAAAAGCCATTATTTTTCTGTTAAACACTAACTAAAATCATTGGCTTGTTCAAGGGGCCACATGGTATGAAATACCTTTAAAAATTAGAATCACATACAGCTTGGTAAAATAGCCTCACTAAATATTCATGCCTGCCCTGAGCCCAAACAAAGGAACACAGTGAGTTCACTGATCGTTTATGACATTCTGACATACACAGGACATTCATACTCTGGAAAGAAGAGCAAGAGCAACGATCTGCACTTGTTAAATCATGGTATCTCACTGTCTCTGTCTCTGTCTCTGTCTCTGTCTCTATCTCTGTCTCTCTCCCTCCTTTCCTTACTGCTTACAGAGAAACTGTTGGATTTCCCTAAAGAAGACTGGTCTAGCCAGGCATGGTGGTTCCCGAGTGTAATCCCAGCACTCGGGAGGCTGAGGCAGGCAAGGCCAGCCTGAATTGCATAGAGACCCTGTCTCAAAAAGACAAAAAGAAAAACACCCTGCCTTAAAGTCGACTAGTCTACATAATGATTAGTCTCCATTTTTATGGGGGAGAAGTGGCAAAAACATTTAAATTTCACACATCACAAAGAAGTATCCTTCAAAAATACACTCATTCCACCTCCTCTAATGAGTTCTACTGACTATTTTACAGGACATCAACTTGTTGCCCGCTTGAACTGGGCTGCTGTAACTGCCCTTCCTAAGTCTTCCAAGTAGCAGAGACTAGAGGCAAGTTTCACGAAACCTGGTGTTATCTCTACTGATTTCTTCAGATACTGGTTATTGCTAGACACAAAGATTAAGACAATAAATGGATTTTTTTTCATAAAAGGTAATATGAGGAAGTTCCTCTGAAAGATTTCTATAGCCACCACCGGAAATTTAAACATGTGCTGACAAATGTATAAATTCTGCAGTCTAAGAATATTGTACCTGGGGCTGGGGATTTAGCTCAGCGGCATAAGCACCTGCCTTGCAAGCAGGCAGTCATGAGTTCAATCCCTGGTACCAGTAAAAATACAAAAAAAAAGAATATTGTACCAATGTCAGTTTTCTGCATTATATAAAATGCCACTACTAAAAAACTAGGGAAAGAATTCCTAGAACTATACATGCAAGTTTTTCAACTTCCTCTATTAATGACTTTAAAATAAAATCTTTTTAAAAGCCACATAGAGAACAAAATCAAATGAGAAGCAAAAAAAAAAAAAAAGTTTGCTTCTTACCTTTAAACTCTTTAAATAATTTGAGAGCATACTGGGATGGAACCGATTTTCTTCAGCAACTTGACTATCATATCTTGGTCCCAGCATTGTCTTCAGAGGTAAGAACTTTCCTAAACAGTAAAACAGGTAATATTGTTTATTAAAGAAAACACTTCAGGTTAAAACTCTATAGCTAGCAATTCTCAAAATCACAAATGCAAACATAATCCATAAATGCAGCTATTCATGAAATACTCTCAGTCTAAATGGTACGTTTTAAAGGTCCTAAAAAAGGCATGGTGGTACACATTTGTAATCCCAGCACTCTGGGACACTGAGACAGAATATTAAAAGTTCAGCCCAGCACTGGCAACTTAGCAACTTACTCAAAAATCTGTCTCACAATGAAAAGTAAATAGGACTTGGGATGTGGTTGATTATGAAGGTCCCAAGTTCAATCCTCAGTACAGCAAAGAATAAAACAAGTAAGTCTTGCCTTGGGGCTTTTAAGATCATAATAAATTCTACAAGTTGGCAACCAAGATAAGGCCAAAAGCCAGGAGCGATGGCACATATATCCAGGAGGTTGAGACAAGAGGGCCACTTGCCTCCAGGAGTTCAAGACCATCTCAGGAAACAGCGAGTGTTACTTCCTCACCTTCAATTCACCTATTATACACATACATTATACATATGTGCAAAAAAATGTAAAGACTTTACTTCTTCGTAACAGTACCTAATTTAAATTTTGTGCTACCATTCAAGACAGCCCACAGTGGAATTGGGGATATGACTCGGTGGGACAGCACCTGCCTGGCAAACACAAGGTCATTAGTTCAATTCCCAGTAAGGAGAGGAAAAAAAAAAAAAGAGAGAGAGGCCACAGTCAATCGAAATTCTCTTCCCTCACTCCTTTCACTTTACCTCCTCCTAGAGGCAAATCCATTCCTAGGAGGCAGAAACTGTGGCACAGTGGGGAAGCAGACAACTGCCACTTCATAAGTCATCATCTGTCTTCACTGGCTTCTAGTAGAATGAACACACTGGCAGGGCATGGAGGCACTCGCCTGTAATCCCAGCACTCAGGAGGCAGGGCAGGAACCAAGAGTCCAGTGTGGCCACGTAGTGAGTTCAAGGCCATCTTGAATTACAGAGTCAGATGCTGTCTCTCAAAAAAAAAAAAAAAAAAAAAACTACACCTGGTCTTTGTGCATTACTCACCAAAGTAGCATCTGCTGAGACAATTAAGGCCCACCCCACCGCTGGATGGACCAATGGAAGACTATCCTCCATCTTCCAGGTTCTGACCCCAGCTACTCCTAGCTAGCCACTGCACGTCTCTTCTAATCGTCCTTGCTGGGCTCACTGAATCCCCATCCAAAAGATAAGCATTACTCTTTGACAGGCCTCAGGAGCATATAATCATGCCTTCATCAATCCAATAAACTCTTTAAGAAACCTGCAATCAAGTAACTCTGCAACCCATTCCAACCTGGCTTCTGACTCCAATCCCACTGAAAATATCAGCCACTAATACCTTCACATGATTACCACCTTTCCTAGTACCTTAACGTTGGCATCTGACAACTCTTCCTTGCTTGAAAAACTTTGTCATCAATAACACCAGAATCCTACAGTGTCTACTACTCTAACACTAACCCTTTTAGTTATTCCTCCTAATTCCTTTGTTTCCTCTTTTATCCTTTACCCAACTTCAAATGTCTGGCTTCCCAGGGTTCCATTCTAGGCCTTCTTCTCTACTCTATATTCTCCACTTGAAGATTTTATCCATTGCTATAGCAGAAGAAAACGCCATTAAGCAAATTCCATTTATTTTCTTTTTCCAGGGCACAGGAAAAAACTACATTTCTCAGCTTCTCTTGTACTTGGAATAAGGTCATATGACTGGATTCTGCTCAGTTCTATACGGGGAAGAAGTTATGCCACTGCAAGGCTAGCCATAAAGTCTCCTAAGAAAGCATCTATTCCTGTTCCTCCTCTATATGACAACTCTTAAGTCACACGCGTAAGAGGACAGTAACATAAGACAGAAACAACCTAGAGTTACCAATCAGAGAGAAGCTACCACAAAAAGCTCCCCTACCACACAATGCATTGTAATATGTGCAAGAAATAAATGTTTTTATATATTTGTGCTGTGTGTTAAAGAAATAGCATTAAATACTTAGTGATCATCTACCACATCTTTAAAAACTGTCTTCATACTCATTCACACATGCACATCTCCAACTGGAACTTCTTTGAATTCCAGACCATATAATCAAATGCTTACTTAACATCTCAACGTGGACAACGGGATCTTTGAGTATCCTCAGCTGGGCATGTGGCAGCACTGAGGAAGGAGGATGGCCACAAGATTAAGGTCAGCCTGGGCTACCTGGTGGGTTCAAAGACCATCCTGGGCTGCACAGTGAGACTCTCTTTCAGGAGAAAAAAAAAACGAGAGTCTCCTCTCAAATTTCTGTCAAATAAAAGAAAATTATGATATTGAAATAAAATAGGGGCTGGGGATTTAGCTCAGCGGCATAAGCACCTGCCTTGCAAGCAGGCAGCCGTGAGTTCGATCTCCGGTACCGGTAAAAAGGAAAAAGACAAAAAAAAAAAAAAAAAAGAAAAAGAAATAAAATAGTAACAACCTTAACATCTCAACGTGGACAATGGGGATCTTTGAGTATCCTCAGCTGGGCATGTGGCAGCACTGAGGATGCTCAAAGATGCTTTCTTAGGAGACTTTATGGCAACCTCCTTTCCCATAATGCAGTGGTGGCAAACCTATGGCACATGTGCTGCAGCCAGCTGTTTATTATCACTGAAAGGTTCACCATCACTGCCCTAATACACCAATCATCCCAGCGAATAAGCTATTAATGGAGGATCCAATTCTAACTCGTTTCATTCTGAATTCAACACCAAGTTGTGTCGATTTTTTATTTCTCAAATCAGTCTAATATTCTTGACTTCTCACTTCCAAACCGTCAATCATTGGTTCCGCAAATCTGAAGCTCCGCCAGCCTCAGCGTGGTGCCTACCCAACGTACGCTGGACAGCACTTTCCTACAACACTGGCTTCCACTAGCAAACCTGAAAAATTGAACGCTCTGCTTTTTGCGCATGCGCCACCATTCCTCCAATCAGCTGTCAGAACTTCACTCAGCCACTCCTTCCAACTCCACCCTCTGTAAAACTGAATAAAAGCTCAAGGCTTCATTGTCTACCCAGGGGATCTTGCTCTCTACTTACTGCAGCCCAGTGCTATGACAAAGGCCTTCTTTTTTTCCTTTGCTCTTGCTTTTCTACTGCGCCTAGGAAAAACCTATCAATCACCACTTTCTGTCACTTGGCCTACCACAACTCTAACTCGCGTCTCCACTTCCACTTTTTTTTTTTTTTTTTTTTTTTGGCAACAGGGATTGAACTCACAACCTCACGCTTGCCAGGCAGGCGCTCACGCCACTGAGCTAAATCTCCAGCCCCTCAACCCAATATTTTAAAAACTTTGATGCAGCCAGTGTACATGAGAAGTATATTAACATTAGAATCCCTAATCATATCCTACTAGCCCATATGATCTGGCTCTTACTCTCCATCCTCTATCCTCACAACACAATTTTTCAGTCCCAAATCCTACCATCATTTTATCCTAACAGTGCTTTTCCACCTCTAACTATTTAGCACCCCCCCACAAAAAAACTTTCTACTCCATATAATTAGCCTATCATCTCTGAGAAGCCTTTCTTGATGTTCTTCTTCCCAGTTATCCCCCAACCCCAAAACAAATACATTATAACCCCGAAACAAAAATGGCATCCCATCATATTCTACACTACAATTATTAATAGAGTGTGGTTGTTCTTGCAATAGTGAGATTCAACCACAATACCACTAAGCCATGTCCCCAGACCCAGACTGTGTGGTTTTAATGTGATGTACTCATCTCCCTAATCCCAAAGGCTAAGTAGACTCTCATGTATTTGCTAAGTAAACATGCCTACGGTCCCAGTTTCTCAGAAGATTGAAGCCAGACAATTATTTGAGGTCACACATTAGCAACCATAGCCAGGTGTGGTGGCACATGCCTATAACCCCAGCACTCAGGAGGCTGAGGCAGGAGAATTGTTGCAAGTTCAAGATGAGCCTGAGCTACAAAGTGAGCTCAAGGCCAGCCTGAACTGCATAGAGACCCTGTCTCAAAAAGACAAAAAAAAAAAAAAAAAAAAAAAGAGACTAGCCTCAGAGATCCATCTCAAAATAAAAATGTCAAGTCACCATCACTGTCACAGACTACCTCTTATCTTCATATTCCTACAGATGCCAGTAAATTCTTTATACACTGTAAGTGTGAAATAATTTTATATTATGTACTTCTAAGATATCACCAGTCGGGTATGGTGGCACACACACATAAACCCAATATTAGGGAGGTTAAGACAGGAGGACTGCCACAACTTCAAGGCCAACCCAGTCTACTCAGTGAATACAAGGCCAGCCTGAACTACAGTCTCCAGGGGAAAAAAAAAAATTACATGTTTGTTTTCTTCTGTTTACCTGAACCCCAGCACTCTAAAGTAGAAACAAAAGAACTCTGCAAAAATAAAGTTTAGTCTTATTTCCAAAAACTCTCTCTCATTCCAAGCCTGATTTAACTAGAGAAGGTGACTTTATAAGGTAATTGTACATACTTTAGTTTAGGAAAATCATAAACTTTAGTACTAAGATCCTCCTAATGTTTACCACAAAAAAACTTGAGTGGCCATACACACTGTCCTCAATTTGAAAAATATCAAAAGTTTACTGGGGCTGGGGTAGCTCAGTGGCATAAGCACCTGCCTAGCAAGCCACTGAGATCGTGAGTTCAATCACTGGTACCAAAAAAAAAGTTACAGTAAGCATGATTACTTTTATAATCAGGGAGAAAAAAAGAGAATAGTACAAAATGGGAATGTGGCAAGGTACAGTGGAGCACATAATCTAGCTACTTGGCAGCCTAAGGCAGAAAGATTACAAATTTGAGGCCAGCCTTGACAAATATGGGCGATCCTGTCTCAAAAATGAGTTGAGGATGTAATTCAGTGCTTTTGGGATTCAGCAGTCCATATTGGAGACTGAGAGGAGGAGTATTATTACTTCTCACTAAAGTTAATAAAAATATAGTTAGTACATCTTGCCCTACTATAAAACTGTTAAACCTTGCCTTTTCCAAAATACACAATGTGTCACAAACACTTCTAGGACTCAAAAGACACAGAACTTCCATGGAAATTCAGAGAAAAATAAAGAATTCTGCTATATTTACTTCCCTTTCTAATCAGCATCACAAATCAGAGTACTGATTACTAGTAGAAATCTAGTTTGGCTGTCTGTGTGGTCCAGGATTCTATTCAAGAACTACAATTAATCAGAGAAGTAAACCTAATGACTCAATCACAAGAAGGAAGAATCTAGTTTTGCAGGTCAAAATATCACAATATAATCAAAGAGTTAAAAAAAAAAAAAAAAAAAACACACACACACACACTTTTATTCCTGAGCTCCTCCATTCCTAACCAAGTAGAAGGGGAGACACACTACTCAATTTCTTAGACAAAAAGTAGCCTGGAGCTTAGCACCTTACTTGCTGTCTTCTTCCAGAAAGAGCCAGATTTGTACCAATTATTTAACAATAAGCCAAGGTTCTAGTATTTTTCATTGCCATACAGCAGACCTTACATTAGAATTCTGATTTTTTTAAAACATATGGGAGCATGGTGACACATTCCTATAGTTCCAGTTACTGGGAAGCTGAACAAGACGATTATGAGTTCAGCTTGGGAAACTTAGCAAGACCCCATGCCCTGGCAAAAAAATTACCATAGTAATAATGATTTTTCAGCATCTTTTAAATATTTTAAAATATGAGGACTATAGTTCAACTGACCATTTGCTAGGTTCTACATGGTAAATAGTGTTTCTAATTACAAATATAAAATGTTCACTCTGACAAGAATTTAAGATTTTGTTTTCCTTACAAATACAGTATAACAGATAACTGTAACAAGGGACCCATGAAACATGTTCAGGCTAAAAAAAGTCTGGCATCTAGGGTTAAGAGTTTGCTCATCGGTTAAATATCACATGATTTATATGAGAAACCCAAAATATAAATAATGTGAAGACCAAAATAAAAAAGAGATGACAAGAAACAGAAAGATAGACTTCGTGGAGATGGAAAGTGATCAAAGGAAGAGGGGAATGGGAAAGGTGGGACAGAGGAACAAAATGGTTCAGAACACGAGACCCACATGTACCAACTGCCCAAGATAAATGTGATTATTATGTACCACAAACAAATACTAATAATGTGTCTTTATAATTCCAAGTAGAAAATCACATATAAGAAAGATGTACATACTATGAGAGACTGCAGGAAACAAAGTCAGACTCAGTGGCCATGAAGATCTACAAAGAAAAATCTAAAGAACTGTGATCAATGTTAAAGAATGATTTTCAAGTAGAATTATCTTCATTTTAATTGCAAATGTGTGAAAAATGGTTCAAATAAGCTAGATAAAATGGCACACCTCTGTTATCCCAGCTACTTGGGAGGCTGAGGCAAGAAGATTAAAAAAGATAGTAAGTTCAAGACCAGCCTGAGCAACTTAGCAAGACAAAGTCTCACAATCAAATATAAAAGGGGCTGAGGATATGGTTCAGGGACATAGCGTCCTGAGTTCAATTATCAGTATCAAAATAAAACAGGCTCAAATATAAAATTATTACGCTTTTCATAAAAATTTCCTCATACTAAGACTTGCTTAGATTATACTTTAGTATCACTTTTATCTATTAATACAGCTTTATTAATTGAAGATATAAAATAAAATGTCAACATAAGCTGGTAAGGTCAGAGATTTAGCTCAGTAGCATAAGGGCCTGCCAGACAAGTGCAAGGTCTTAAGTTCGATCCCTGGTTCAAAAAAAAGACAAGCTGATAATATAGAACAAAATATAGAACAAAAAAGTGACCACAGACTCTCCTCTTCCAACAACTTTAAATAATTAGGTCATCATTACCACCTAATTATGAAAAGACACTCAACATGAAGTATTCACACTTTACTACACATGCTTTTTTTTTTATCAAAACTACCTTCTAAAAAGGGCAATAAAGTGAAATTAGTTAAAATGTAGCACTTTTATTTTTCAAATGAAAGTGTTAAGAGAATAAAAAGCAAAGGGAAAGGGGCTGGGGATTTAGCTCAGCGGCATAAGCACCTGCCTTGCAAGCAGGCAGTCGTGAGTTCGATCCCCGGTACCGATTAAAAAAAAAGCAAAGGGAAAGATACGCAAAAGCTTATCGTCAAAAAAAAGCTTACAGTCAACAAAGGACTTGTATTGACAATCATAAGAAACGAACATCCAGTAAGACATATTCAATTTAAAAATAATAATGAGAAGCCAGACATAGTGGCACACACCTGTAATCCCGCACTCTGGGAGACTGGGGCAGGAAGATCCAAAATTCAAGCTCAACCTGAGCAACTGACCAAGGTGCTGTCTCAAAATAAAAAATAAAAAACAGAGCTGGGAATGTAGCTCAATCTGAAGGCACTGAGGAAAAAGAAGTTGCCAATAGAAAGTCAGGCCTATGATGACATATGCCTTTAACCCCAGCACTGAGAGAATAAGGCAGAAAGACCTTAAATTTAAAGCCAGCCTGGGCACCAAGGGAGTTCAAGGCCATCCTGAAATACATAGTAAAATCCTGCCTCAAAAAGCCAACAAACATCAAAGCAAGCTTGGGGTTTTACCCAGTGGCAGAGCTCCTGCTTACATGAGGCTCTGGGTTTGATACTCAGGATCTTAAAAAGAAAATCAGCTATAGATTTGGACACATCACAAAGATATATAAAAGATATCTAAATAGTCCAAAAATAAAAGATTCTCATCAACATCAAACCACAGTAAGACATTACTACACATTTATTACAATGATTGAAATTAAAATGACTAACATATTATGTTTTAGAGAGGATGTAAAGAAAATGAACTTTCATGCACTGACAGTGGGAATGTAAAATACTATCACTCTGGAAAAGAGGTTGGCAATTTTTTTTTAAAGTAAACATATATAGGCTGAGTGGCTTAAGCACCTTCCTGGCAAGTGTGAGGTTGTCAGTTTGATCCCTGGTACCAAAAACAAAAACAAACAAACTAAATAAATAAACACATATAGTACCTACCTTATCCAATCATTTCTCTCCCAGATATTAAATAAGACAAATGAAAGCATATGCTCACACAAAAAAATTGTACATGAAACTTTGTGGCAAGACTTTTCATAAGTAAACACTGGAAATAACCCAAATGATTGTCAACAACTGACTGGATAAAAAAGTGTGATGATTGGATTAATGGACCTTGGACAAAAAAAAAAAATGTGATGAATTCTTAATAATGGGAATACTACTCAGAAATAAAAAAGGAATGAACTAGTAATATATGCTAAAATCAGGAAGAGTCTCAAAAATAATCATGCTCACCAAAAGAAGCCAAACACTTCCAAAAAAGAGTATATATATTTTTATTAGAAAAACTTTAGGTAATACTAATTTACAGTGACAGCAGATAAATGGTTCCCTGAGCTGGAAATTCTAAAACACTGTATTGTAAATACAATCAAATACAAATACAGGGGTAAGAGGATGGAGGAAGGGTTAATGCAAGTTAATCAGTTAACCACTGAACCCACACACAAAAAAAAAGGCTTTCTAAATATATGCTAAAAAACTCAACCCAAAGCCCAGATTGGTGGACGTTTACCAAAAAAATGTCCAAATTATCAATCACAACTCAGAAGCAGAAGCAACAAAGACTTCGGTGTTCCTCTTTTCCTTTCTTTTTCTTTTCTTCCTTCTTTCTTCTTCTGGTTGGTTGTACTGGGGCTTTTAAATCCAGGAACCTCTCTTATGCAAGGCAGGTGCTCTACCTCTGAGCTACATCCCTCACCATTGTATTTTGAGACAATGTCTTTCTAAAGTCAAAAAATACATCTTATGCTTGTCTGGACTGTTCTCCACTAAAGCTTTCCCTGCTTCATGTTACCCTGCTTACTATAGCTAATGTAAAGTCATGGCTATAATTCATGTATTCCTTCCTCAAACTTTACTGTAAAAATGCTCCAACAAGCTTGTATTTTACTGTAAAAATGCTCCAACAAGCTTGTATTTTACATGTAGGTCCAGCCAACATAGTTCAAACTGCTACCTAGCCATGCAAAGTTTGTTCAGGCCATTCTTTTTTTTTAGCCAGCATTTGTAACGGCACGATAAACTCAATCATTTCAAAGAACTCTCCGTTTTGGAGTTTTAGTTTAATAAGGGTGATGAGTTTATGGGTGTTCCCCTGAATATACATGTGTGTCACCAAACTTTACCGAACTATATACTTGCAAGTTTACTGTATGCCCAACTCAATAAACATAGAAAGCCCACAATAAATGTCATTTTTAAAAATACAAAAAAACTCCTACTCACAGACTCAGGGTCGACCCACACTTGCCTCTTCTCTCCTCTCTCCTCTCTCCTCTCTCCTCTCTCCTCTCTCCTCTCTCCTCTCTCCTCTCCTCTCCTTCCAAGAGGCAAGAACCTTCCCAAAATGTTCAAAAACTTCTAACTAAGCTTCCAAATACCGTCCACTGTCTTACTGGCCCTGAGTTCCCGCAGAGAAGCCTCCTGTCTGCCGCCCGGTTCGCAACACTCAGCCTACAGGAACAGAGACCAGGGTTCCCGATCCACTCCTTCCCGTTCACGTTCCTACTCATCCACCAAATCTCCGACCGCGCACACTCTTGTCCTGAAATACCGCTAACCGGTGCTGAACCAGCGAAAGCTGCGCTGTGCAGTCAGCCCAGCCCCGGCCCGGCCGGAGTGGGGATTCGAACACCCCTCTCCCAGGTTACCTGCCACCGGCTGGCCGCGCCGCGGACAGTTCAGCCACCGCGGTGGGATTTTGTTGTGAGCCATATCTTAGGTCCTCGCAGATCCGACCTGTGCTGCCGCTACTCAAGAGTCCGGTGGGCACCAGTGGCACCGGAATCCCCACCAGGACCCGAACGCCACCAGCTTCTGTCCGGGTAACGACCAGGGCGGCGCGCCACTTTCATTCAGGATCCGCAGCCCTAGACGAGCCCACAATGCATCGCAACTTCCGCCTCTAAAGGCCCGCCCCCGCCTTTCCGAGGTCAGAGGGGAAGAGACGGAAGTTCAGTATTGGGAATAACACGAGCAGTTAAAACCCCGGCGGGTGGGCGGAGCGAGTGTTGCCCGGCCACGCCACGCCCCATTGCGCTGTAATTCGCCTATGCGCATGCGCAATTGTTCGCTTACGGAAAGTAGGTCAGGCGAGGTTTGTTTTCTTTTCCCATCTAACCAATCTAGAGAGGCCTTCCAAAATTGTAGGAAACCAAGCATCTGAGCGCACTTAAGTTTATCCGCCGCTTTTTTTTTGTTTTTTGAGACATGGTCTTGCTACAGTGATTCTCCTTGTCTCAAGCTCCTGAGTGCTGGGTTTCCAGACGTATGCCATCAAGCCCTCCTTGTCCACGTCTTTGTTAAAGACATCGACCTACTAAAAGGCCTTCCCACTGCTTGGTGTCCCGTCAGATATGGGTTTGATTTGGCATTTGAAAAAGTTCTCTCTAATGAGGGATCAGGAGGACAAATTTTAGAGAAATTCTAAGGGCAGTATATCAGTACCAAAAATGTGAAATTTCTCTTGGAGCATACTGTTGAGAACATACTAGTCCATTAATCCACTGAGTGCCTGAAATTAATTTCAAAACGTTTTAGTTTTGTTTGTAGATTTCTACAGCCAAGTTTTAAAATATATTTGGGAGTTTCAGAAAGTTCGTGTCAAAAAAGTTATTAATTATGCATATAAAATTGCCAAAGGTCGGAATTAACTGGTGGACAGCTATTATGTGGCAGTGTTCTTTGCTTACCAAATAAATGATTCCTTGTTTTTCCCCTTCAAGTTAACCCCAGGTGTTGGAAGCATTTTAAAATGTCCTAGAATGAGACTTTCTTCAGTTACCAGCCTAAATCAAAAGTAAATATAAATCTGGATGATGGTTAATTAACTATAACAGCGCTTTGACTTTAAGAACTGTTTCAAATATTGGAACTGCAAGAGTGTGAGACTGCAGGGAATATATTTTTAAAGTGTCAGCAGAAATTTTCTAGGCAACTCACTTCTGTATGCCTGGACTCTCTCAGAAAGAGGATTCTTGTATAATTAGAGCCCGATAGCTATCTCTTTGTATTGGATCACATTCGTGGTCTATCCCAGAGTTATTTTGCTCAGAACTTTTAGTGAAAGTGTAAACTGACAGGACAAGACCCAGTTTTGTACAGACCAACCATCTTCCCAAATGATGCCCTATTAGTTCCTTTCTTTGCTGGAAGAGTAGAGTGTGGGTTGTGCCCAAAATGATATAATGTTTGATTCCAAGCCTCATCATGTATGGGGCCCTTGGCCCAAGGATATAGCTCGGCTGCACAGCACCTGCCTGACAAGCATGAGGTTGTGAGTTCAATACCCAGTACCCCAAAAGAAACAGAGGAGACGGGGGAGGGGAGGAAGGGAAAGGAAGAGAAGGGGAGGACCTTAACCCATAAGAGCAGGAAAAACCAAGGGATAGCAAATTCAACTATCCCTATCTGGGCTCTACCACTGTACACACCACACCTACCTGGGAATAGGAGTCCGAAGCAAAGGGAGAGCTTTGTATCACAAGCGAGCAGCTGTTACTTGCTGTAAGGAAGCAGCGTGTGTTTAACTTTTACCCCACTATCTAGTCATGTTGTCTCCATTTTCAGTGCTGCCACCAGGGAGTCCCCTGTGGTTCCCGTTTGCCCACCATAGAAGGGAGAATAGGAAGGTAGCTTCCAAGGATTTCTCTTTCCCTACAGGAATCCTTGGCCTGCTGAGTGTTTCTGCCTTCATGGCTCAGAGTCTCAAGTCTCTTTATTGTTCAGTGAGAAGAAAAGCAAATGCCCACAAAGGACCAGCATGACTCCTCTCTGGATTACTAGAACCCCCAATTCACCATTCCAGATAGGTCTCTTTGTTAGCTGTAGGCTCTCTTCATGGGTGAATTCTTCCAGGGAACATCCATTCGCCTGTAAGAGAGGAAAGGATGAATACAAATAATTTTCATGTTAGTGAAAAAAAAGAATTTTCCTCAGAGCAATTCTTTTGAGAAATTTTATTTCATTAAATGTATATAAATCTTCTAAATGCTGAATGAAAGGCTTGCCTTTTTTACAAGCCAGGGCCTGAGCTCCATCTCTTTGAAATGTAAACATCAGGGAAGGTCCTGTCCCTGTCTCCCATCACTTTGGAAGTTTAGCCTTCCCTTTTAACCCTAAGGAACCTTATTCCAGGCTGTATCCGCTGTTTGTATAAGAGATAGCGGTAACTAACTGACCCAGGTGGCCACTCCAGTTACCAATCAAATGTACACATGGACAAGTTATGTTCACCTTGAGAATATCTAGGTAAAGGACTGTATAGGCTTGGATATGCAGGAGTGAGATCACTTTCTTCTCTCTCTCTCTCTCTCTCTCTCTCTCTCTCTCTTTCTCTTTCTCTTTCAGCCTGATTTAATGTTTTTTTTTTTCAATAATGAAATGCTTTTCTTCCTTTTTCATGTTACAGGAAAGTATTTATCTGGGTTGGTGAAGTTTATTCCCAATTCATGTCCCCCTCAAAAGCAACTGTAGAAATGTGCCCCTCTCTGAGTCTGAACAGTGCCCTCTAAGTTTTCCTGGGTGCTCAGTTTCATGTTCCCTGTGTCTCTGGCAATGTTGATTAAGGGATGACCCAGTTTATTCTCCTCACCACGTTCCTAGGGCAGCAATGGTAAAGCTTTTAAAGTTTTTGGTGATCCGAACAGCCCGCTGTGGCACACGTGCCACAGGTTCACCACCACTGCCCACCACCACCCTAGCATGTGCAAAGGATGCTCCTATCTGGCTCCCAAAAGCCAGCAAAGTGTCAGAAAAGGACATCAGCTTTCTAAAGATCAATCCTCATCTTCCTTAGCTGACAGGCACTAACCTGGTGCCACTTGGGTCCCATTCCCTTTCCATAGGAGTGACCCAGCTCCTGCCTGCACTGTCCCAGCTTCAGAACTTCAGTTGGGTTCACTGTGGAACAGAGAGAAATAAAGTCACATGTTACATAGCGCTCATATTCAAAACTCAAGGTATTGGGCAAAAGAAAACAAATTTTAAATTACCTTCCATTGTTTCTTCCTTTGAGCCTTGGACTCACTGACTGACATTCAGGGTCGTGTTGTAAAAGAAAAAAGTAATCTTTGAATAAAATCACCCTTTTCACAGAACATGTGCTTCTCCAAAAAGAGGTTTCATATCTTACTCCAGGGAATAGGCTCAGGGAAAAAAACAATAAGCAGTCTCTCCTACCTGCCTTCACAGGTAAAGGTGTATTTGTATGAGATAAATGTGGGTTTGACAAAACCACATTATAGGCAATTGATACCTGCTGACAACTATTCTAACATCATAAGCCAAAGCAAGATTTACCATGAGAATCCTTACTTGTGTAAACTGTTTCCCAGGCTTAATTAGGCGGGTGTTAACATGTCCTCCAGCCTTTTTCTCCCAAGAGCCGCTGTGTGTAAGGAGGTAAGTGCTCTTCTTCTGTTAACTGACTCTGTGCTCTCATGCTGTCAGAAGTATCAGACAGGAGCACCTGCCACAGGAATGAGGGAGAAAATCATGGGGGATCAGAACCCCACACTGACCCAAACAAAGTTAAATGTGCACAGCTCTTATGGCGTCTGTGCTGTGGGCAAGGACGTGGTCTCTGGATGTCAGTGCACGCAGAGAGGGATTTTTAGCTGTGCCTGCATCTTTATCATGCCTCTGCAGGTGAGGTATGTCTCGTTACGATTTTGCCTCCACCTCCAGGGATAATGTTTGATATGGTGATACAGCAAAGGCAACTAGAAATTATATTACTGACTACACGTGCGCCTGTCCCTCACCACCTGGAATTTGCCGCTTATCATCTAGGAAAGCTCCTACATGGATTGTGGGGGAGCACAGGACGTTCTCTTGCCTCTGTGAGTTTGATCTTAGCACTCTTGTTTTCCTGACCACTTGTCTTTGAAGGCTGAGCTTTACTCCGGTCTCCAGGAGGGTTCCCTTAACTTCACAACACAACCGTAAAGACTAATCCACCTTTTTTGTTTGTTTGCTTTTTGGTTTCTTGCGACAGGGTCTTCCTGTGTAGTTCAGGCTGACCTTGAACTCTGTGCCTAGTTCAGGCTGGCCTTAAACTCACAGTGTGCCTCCTGCCTCAGTTTCCTAGTACTAGGGTTATAGTCATGCACCACCACATCCATCTAGGCCCACTTTTTAACTCCCAGTTGTCCAGTGTGTGTCTGTCAACCTTGTAAGACTGTAGGCTTTCTCACTACCACTTAACTCTCTCACTACCAGAAAACTGCATCCGTTGCTCCTTTTGAAATTTTATTTTTAAACAGGATTTTCTAAATTGCCCAAGATGGTCTCAAACTTGTCATCCTATAACAGAAAATGCCTCCCCTCAGCCAGTCTGTTAGTTGCCCAGGTAACATTCCTGTTACAAGTCCCCGTCACTTCTGTCTTTTAGAAACAGCTGGTCACTCTGATGCATATTGTAAAAACCAATCAAAGACAGTCAAGTACTGCCTGTACTTCCCCTTTCAACTGCATAAAAGCCTCCCTCCCTAGGCCTTCAGAGACTGATATCTTGGGAGTGATCCTGAGAAGCGCCAATCGACATAAAATAAATCTGCCTGCAACCGCTGAGTGTCATTTTGGTGTTTCTGCTTGCATTTGCCTATTGCCTCATCCTCCATGGCACTGAGAATACAGATCATCCCACAGTGCACAGTTTGTGCCTTTACTCTTACAAAAGGCTGCCCCCCCCAGTTATAAAAATTCAAGCCTGTGATGAATTGAGTTCATCCCAAAAGGAATGCTAAAGACCACCTCTGATGTCTCAGAATATGATCTTACTTGAAAACAGAGTCTGAACACAGGAAATAAAGTTAAAATGAGGCCATTAGAGCCTGGCACAGTGGCACATGCTCGTATTCCACACTACTCAGGCAGCTCAGAGTAGGAAGAACACTAGTTTCAGGCCAGCCTGGAAATGTAGCAGGGTCCCTGTCTCAAGAAAAAAAAA